TACTTTTCTACAAAGCTTTTCTGGAAAACAAATTCAAAGAAAAGATTTAAATCAAAAGCAAGAAAGGAAGGAAGGAAGGGAAGAGAGACAAGGCAAGAGAAATCCCCATACCTATTAGCAGTCCCTCACCCTTCATTCCCTGCTCCCACGAGGCCCAGGGAACCACTGATTTACTTTCTGTCTCCAGGGATTTATCTATTCTGAGCCATTCATATACATACACTATGAGTGCTTTGCGTCTTCTTTCTTTAACTTATAATGTTTTGAAAGTCCATTCATGTTGTATATATATGTATACTGCATGCAATGCAGCAGGACTTTATTTCTTTTTATGGCTGAATATTGTTCTATTGTATGGAAAGACCATATTTTGTTTTCTACTCCTCAGTTTATGGACATTTATAATGTGTCCACTTTTTGACTAGTATGAATAATACTTCCCCAAGTAGTCACATATATATATTTGTGTGAGTATATGTTTGTTATCCTCTAGGGATATATATCCAGGGATTAAAATGGCTGTATCTTTTGATGACTCAATATTAATGTTTGAGGAACTTCAAAACTGTTTTTCACAGTGGCTGAATCCCTTTTTACCACCATCAGCAATGTATAACATATTCTAATTTCTCCATATCTTCACCAACAGTTGCTATTGTCTTTTTAAAATTTATTAGTATACCTGTTTTAGTAGATGTAAAGTGGTATCTCTTTGTGGTTTTGATTTTAATTTCTCTGATAACTAATGATGTTGAACATCTTTTCATGTGCCTATTGGGTAATGAGGGTCCCTTGGACTGCAAGGAGATCCAACCAGTCCATCCTAAAGGAGATCAGTCCTGGGTGTTCATTGGAAGGACTGATGTTGAACTGAAACTCCAATACTTTGGCCACCTGATGTGAAGAGCTGACTCATTTAAAGAGACTCTGATGCTAGGAAAGATTGAGGGTAGGAGGAGAATGGGACGACAGAGGATGAGATGGTTGGATGGCATCATCGACTCAATGGACATGGGTCTGGGTGAACTCCGGGAGTTGGTGATGGTCAGGGAGGTCTAACGTGCTGCAGTCCATGGGGTCGCAAAGAGTCGGACACGACTGAGTGACTGAACTGAACTGATTGGATATTTGCATATTTTTTTTGGAAAAATATCTTCTCAGATCTTTTGCCAGTTTTTGAATTTGATTCTTTCTCTTTTCTATTGAGTTGTAAGTGTTATTTGTATCTTCTTAATATAAGACCTTATTAGACACATTATTGGCAAATATCTTCCCCATTCTATGGCCTGTCTTTTAAATTTTCAATATCGTTCTTTAATGCTTGAAAGTATTCCATTTTAACAAAGTCAATTTACCTATTTATTCATTTGCCACTTGTGCTTTTAGTGTCATACTTAGGAGACCACTGCCTAATCCAAATTCAAAAATATTTACTTCTGTGTTTTCTTCTAACAGTTCTATAGCTTTTGCTCTGGAATTTAAATCTTTGATCCATTTTGAGTTAATTTTGTATATAGAATGTGATAGGACTCCAACTTCATTCTTTTGCATATGGCTATCTAGTTGTCAGAGTATCATTTGTTGAAAAAGAGTTATTTTTTCCGCCATTGAATGGCCTTAGAACTCTTGTCAAAAATCAGTTGAACATGAATGTATAAATTTATCACTGGGCTCTTTTTTTCTGAACCATTGATATGTATGTACATGCTTCTGCTGGCACTACATACTCTTAATTATTGTAGATTTGTAGTAAGGTTTAGTATAAGTCCCCTTAACTTCTTTTTCTTGTTTAAATTATGTTAATTATTCTGGGTCCTTGGCATTTTCCTATTAATTTTAGGGTCAGCTTGTCAATTTTAGCAAAAAAAAAAAAGACAACTGGAAGACTCTGCACTCTAAACTACAGAACCATTATTGAAGATTGTTCAGGACCACAGAAAATTGCCTACAGTGTGACTCAGTTCATTTCAGTTCAGTCACTCAGTCGTGTCCAACTCTGTGACTCCATGGACTACAGCACACCAGGCTTCCCTGTCCATCACCATCTCCCAGAGCCTACTTAAACTCATGTCTTTCATGTCGGTGATGCCATCCAACTATCTCATCCTCTGTCACAGTGTGACTATGGCCCATGAATGTAAGATGGTGTTAGACTCTGGTATGCAGTGGTATGAAGTAAAAGTTAAAGTGATTGAGTGATTGTTATTAGGAAGATGGGATCATTCAATGCCTTCCTTTTCCTTTCATAATTTTTTGTTTTAATACTATTTTATAAGAAGGAAAATATGCATTAAGTTTTTGAGGAAATGATTTGTTTCTAACCTCCTTAAAATACCTGGCATATTGCACTGCACATAGTAGGCACTCAGCAAATATTTCTTGGAATTAATTTTATATTGCTCATTTGCAGACTGAAAAAAAAAGTGAGTTCTTTTGTATTGCAGGCAGCTCATGGTTGCTCTTAAAAAACAACTATTCAATCAAGCTAAATGCAACAAGAAACTTTATGCATACAAATGCCCTTAAGTTGGTTGCATTAGAGACCTAGTTGACTATTCATAATTCCTTATTTTTCTCAAAAAATTCACAGGCCCTCCCAACCACTATTATTAGTTCCCTTAAAATTGAGTCTTTAAGAAATAATTTAAACTATCAGGAAAGAAAACTTTTTTTTTCAAGTGGGCAGTGTGAGATGTTAATAGATCTTGTGATATTTTCCAAAATAATTCTAATCTTTGGGAGATTAGTAACTCACCTCCCTTCTGAGTTGTTAGAGTCTAAGTTTGTGGTCTGTGAGTAAACTTTGGCAGCTTATTAATTTATTCTTGAAAAGCTTTATTTAGAGAATCAGATGATACTAACCTATGCCCTAGAAAGTTATACCGTTGGGGGGGAAGGGTAATTGTAAGTTACTCACAGGTAGTGGACTGCTTTTAGCATCATTAAGTTGAGCAGGTAAGGGTTAGTGAGGGATCAAGGGGGAGTGGAGAAAACCTGTCTCCATGGCGTTCTAGTAACACCACACACCACTCCGATTTTACGTCCATGATTGATGATGCCACTAAAACCTCCATGGGACCACTGCACTTTCTTGAATCTCAAACTGTAGACCATTCATTATAGTCTATATTTTCTACCCTGACCTGATATTGATGTACACTGTATTTAATGAATCATATTTATCATGCCCTGTTACAGCCCCGAAAGTACTGTGTATCATCATATCTTAGAGACGTGGTCCAAGTGGGAAACAGAGCAGATGAGGAGTGGGGATAGAGCTGGATGGGAAGGCAGGTCAGGGGGCTCAAGAGAGGGAGGGGGAGGGAAAGGAAACTTGAGCTGGGCTTTTCAGTTGGGACCACACAGAGCATTCCAAACATGGGAAAATCCACAGTCAGCTCTTGCCATTTGCATGATGGGAAAATGGCATTTGTTAGTGGAAGGAGAGTCTAGAGACCCTTCCTCCTGTGGGCCTCCACTCTTGGTAAGGATGCAAAGAAGAATCTAAGGTCTTACCCATGGCAAGGAAGTTTATTAACAATAAGGAAAGAAGGAAAGAACAGGTCCCTGGACACAACTGAGTGACTGAGCACACATAAAGAGCAGAGAGAACACCTCAAGACAGAGGTGGGCCATGCCACGAGAGGCAAATGGCCCTGGAGGACTGGGATGCAGGGCTTTTAAAGCAGGGTCATTTGGATAATCCAGGGGTGAGGGGGGTCGTTGATTGATAGCTGCAGGTTATAGAACAAGATGCTCTGCCATGCATGTCTTTCCCATATTCAGTCTGTTATAATTAGATGTGTGTATTCATGGAATAGTTAGGAGCTTTGAATAGTGGCAACGGTCACTTTAGTACAGGATGGTGTGAGGTGCACATGCGTGCTGGAGGAAGAAAGCCCCACCAGGCGGCCGAGGGTTTTTCCGGCCCCTGACGGTTTTTGGAGGACTGGTGGGAGTTTCAGAGGTGGGACTGGTAAACTGCTTGGTGGGATTAGGCAGCTATTGGAGAGTGAGCCGAGGGGCCGCCTCTTGTTGCTCAGCTAACTTCCTGCCTATCAGATTCTCATCCAAATCAATTTCCACTTGATACCCAGAACAGTTTCCCCTAGGGTGCACAACCAGAGCCAAATATTCCAACGGAAATAAATGGAAGTATTTATACAGATATTTTAGTGAAAAGTGAAAAGGAGAGGAGACCGCCCTCTGCATATTTCTAACTAGTGATTTTCCTTAAGAGAAAGCAAAAGAACTGGGCCAGTACATGGTGTTGAGCCATGAGTGCTTCTATTGTCGCTTTTCCTCTGTGCCTCGCCCTGCCGATGTTCCCAGCATTTCAGGGCACGTGGTAAGTGTCCCCAGGCAGTGCACTAGCCTTGCCAGACCCTGGCCATCTCCGAAAACACTGGTGTGGAGGCTCCCCTAAGGGAGAGAAGTTACTTGAGGACACATCACAGGAGGCAGCCAGGAGATGTAAACAGTTCCAAATACAATCAATTTATTGTACAAATGGAAGCATACACAAGAAATTACTATATTTTTCTCAAACCACTGGCCCCACAAGTATATGTCAAACCCCTCTTCTGACCAGGCAGAAGAACCCTTTATAAGTCCCTGGGCAGATTCCAGATCTGGGTCAGTTCAGTTCTTCACTTTCACTTCTTAGAAACCCATCCAGTTTCAACTTCATTTCTTCTCCAACTCAGAGCTCTCTCTCTCATCCCTGGCCTGTCTTGCGACCAAAGGAGCCTTAAGTACCCTGTGCCTATGTCTTTTCTCAAAGCAGCATCCAGAATTCAACAGGAATCAATGTTTGGTTTGGGGAATATCCCTTTTCCTTCCATTTTCACGGAAAAGCTCCCTTCTCTGCTCTTAGGGGCTGGGAGTGGAGGCGAGGAGGAAGGGCAGATTCTGGCTGTGTAACTGCCTCGTGTGGGTTGCCATGCTTCTCTGGCCAATGCGAGCTGGTTGTCATGCATGTCCTCCCAGGCGACACCGTCATGAGGGCACTGCCGAGCCACATTCAGGTCAGCTCACCTCCCAGATGTGATTCCACAGCCTCCAGGTCCCTACCACCCGGCCCCATAGTACAGCCCATGGGAGCTTGCCAGTGAGCCTCCTGTTCTTAGTGTGGACCCCTGGTGGGGAGTGGGGGGCGGTCAGCCGCTCAGCTCATGACTGGTGAAAACTCACATATTGAAACAAAGTCAGTGCTCAGCTCAGACACTCTCAAATCTTTCCTACTGTTTTTTGTGGGACATCCTGCCCCCTCCAAAGTTCTGAGTTCCATTGGTTTCAAGAGCTAGTACTCTTGACTTCTCTTTGAAAGACTGCCCTCAAGCCACTGGAGCCCACCCAAGGGCCAAGGAGTTTATTCCTCTTGAGGCTTTGTTAACCAGTAAAGTGTCCAGCAAAGGAATATGAATGTCCAGTTTTCTTAACTCAGTTTGCTTCCTGAGTGAACTGAGGGAAGTTCTGCATGAGCCTCTCTGCAGGATGAGGCCAAGCCCAACTCACTGTGGGACTTCTGCACCCATGGGGCTTTCTCCTCTTCCCTGTCCTTCTCACCCCAGTTCCCTTAGTGGTTTCCACTGGGAGCCCTTTCTTAATAAATCGCTGGCCCATAATTCCTCACTCAGGGCCTGCTCTTGGGAACCTGTTTTGGATCCTTTTATTGATCTATGCATTTTTGACTGTGCTGGGTCTTCACTGCTGCACGGGCTTTCCTCTAGTTGCCACAAGCGAGAACTACTTTTTGTCACAGTGCGCAGGCTTCTCATCTCAGGGGCTTCTCTTGTTGCGGGGCAGGGGCTCTCAGGCACGTGGGCGTCAGTAGCTGTGGTCCCCGGCATCTAGAGCACAGGCTCAGTGATTGTGGCATGCAGGCTTAGCTGCACCAGGGCAGGTGGGATCTTCCTGGACCAGGGATCAAACCCGCAACTGCTGCATTGGCAGGAGGATTCTTTACCACTGATCCACCAGGGAAGCCCTGGATTCTTTAGTGGACTATTAATAATTCTTTTAATAACGCACTCCCTTTTCATTGCTTAAAATGGTAATGTCATTAGTGCTGAGCACAGGCTGTCTTTTGTTTGGTTGGTTGTTTTTGGATAAAGGAACATGAAGGGGGCAGAGTAAAAGGCTCTAAAAGGTCCCTTTGCTCTGGATACCGCTGACAAGTATTCCTTGAGGACCAGACTTCCAGATTCCAAATCTACCCAAAATAAGGACGCAAAGCCAGATTGAGTTTCTGGAGCAGTGGCCGCCGAGGCAGCCCCTCATGTTCTCCTCTGGCAAACAATCACCAGGTCCTCTAGTGTTTAATGATACTTGGGGCTGGAAAGAACAGAAAAGGGGTTGGGGGTTGGGGTGCTCATTTCCAATAAAACAGTGAGGTGACTTCCATTTGGCGCTTAGAGTTTGAGGCAAGAAATGTCTGGGGAAGTTGAAACAAAAAGACTGGACTACAGCTGTTTAGGTAAAATGGCTACTTGGGTAGGGGATGGTCTCCCATCTCTGATACACGGCACTCATGAATGGAAGTGCTCAGCGTCCCAGTGGCTCTCCTTTTGAACTGGCTCATCCATTACTGGGGTAATGATTTTCCGTCTGGGCAACAGCAAAGCCAAAGGCCTATTACACAGGCAACATAAAGTTAAAAAGACATTATGAATAAAACGTTGGCTCTGGCAGGCTTTTGCCAACTCTTCTCGGGAGAAGATTGCCTGATGCCGACACGTGTTTATTACACTTAATAATGTTTACATAATTCTTCCTTGAGCTCATTAGAGCTGTCAGATCCCAAGTAAATGTGCTCCCTCCTCGGTTTATCTTTAAAGACTTCGCAGTCAATAAAGCAAGATGAATGGCATTCAGGGCACAGACGACGTACTCTCCCCGGCTTTGCAAACACTGACAAGTTAGACCCTCCGTACGGGTGGGCTCCAGGGTCTTAGGCCTCCATCTGAGCAGCCCCTTAATTGTTAGTGCTTCTCTACCGTTAAGGGCCTGGGATCACGGAGAGCTGGTCAAACAGGGCCAAACCTCGTCCCGAGATTCTGCCTCAGTAGATCTGGGGTGGGGCTCAGACATGTGCATTTCCAGCAAGCTCCTCAGATGCTCTTCAAGTGCCTGGCCCTTCCACCGTGTTCTAGGGGTGATCTGCCATCATTCCCTTTCTCGGGGGTACCCCTTGACGATTCAGGGCGTCCTGGCCTAAGGCATGCAGCAGCAGCAGCAGTAGCGGCCACGCGGCGGTGGAGGCAGCAGGCTCGGCAGCGGGAGGAGAGCAGCCGCAGGGGTCGCAACTGCTCGCGTGCAAACCTGCTCTGGGCTCGCGTGGCTCAGCGCAGGGGTCGGCCGGCGTGGAGGGGCGGGGCTAGAGCCGGGGCGGGGCCTGGCGCCCGGGCCGTGGTCGGGGGAGGCGCCTGGTGCCCGGGAACGGGTGCGGGGTCGGGGCGGGGCCTGGAGTCCGGAGCGTGGTCGGGGGGCAGGTCCTGGCGCCCTGGACGGGGCGGGGCCTGGCCCCCGGGGTCCGGGTCGGGACGGGGGTCTGGGGCCGGGGCGTGGTCGGGGGCGGGGCCTAGCGCCCAGGGGGCGGGCTCGGGGCGGAGCCTGGCGCCGGGGGCGGGGCGCGGCGCGCGGGGCTCGCGCTGTCTGCGCTCCGCGGCGGCGGCAGGGGCCGAGGGCACGGCCGGCGGGCGGCGCGCCGCGGGCTCTCGGGCAGCCCGCCGACAGGTAAAGCCGGGAGAGCGCGTTGGCGGGTCTTTTTGCCCGGCAGTGCTCAGCCCGGGAGCGTCCGGCCCGCCGACTGGGTCTGGGCGCCCAGGGCGTTTGCGGAGCATACAGGGACTCGCCGCGGAGCCGGGGGTTTGCTTGTTCCGCGCCGGGGCGGGGCGGGGGGCTCGGGGTCTGCGGCGCGAGCCTGCGGCCAGCCCGGGACGTCCGCACTCGGAGACAACTTTACCCAGCGGTCCTACTCTAAGTTGCCCGTATTGCTATTGTCTCGTCGCCTCCCGTCCGACGGTCTCCCCGGATTCCAGCTTTGTTCTCACCAGGCGGACCCCCGTCCCCCAGGGCGTGAACCCGGGGTCCGTTGGCAAGTTGCACCTGCTGGCTCCCTTCTCGTCCCTGCCGAGTCTGGCAGGGTCCCTGGGGCTGGTCACCTCGACACCGCGGCAGGCGGTTTTCGCGGGTCCCCCTGGGCTCTGGGATCACAGGCGTTAGACACCCCCCGGATGCGCGTGATTTGAGGCCGGAGGGAAGGCGAGAAAAAGTTTGGAGGTTCGGCTAGTACTCGGGAGCCGGCAGCGCCCTGCTGCACACGGCACGAGGTGGAGACAGTGCTCGCGGCTTGGCGCCGGGCAGAGGGTCTCTGGGGACTGAGGTCCCGGTGAAGAGACCCTTCCCGAGTGAAGGGCAGAGGCTCTAAGCCTGGACTGCCGGCGGAGGCTGGAGGCTTGTGGCGTGAGCTCAGAAGCAGGGCAAGGCTGGTGTGAGTGCAGAAAGGGCGAACAAGAGAGGAAGACGGAGGTATAAATACATATTGTGTGTGTGTGTGTGTGTGTGTGTGTGTGTGTGTGTAGTACCCAATGTACACTCTTCTTTTTGAATATAGTTTGAGAAACTGTAAGGATGCCTCCTCGGACTGGAACTCCCAGAGGTGGGGGTGAGACGGGAAACGGGTAAGTTTTACCGGTGTTAGAGCTGGTTTGGAAAGCGAACAGGTGACAGAAGACTTCTTGGGGGGGTGTGCTCGCGCGCGCGCGGGCGTGTGTGTCTGTGCGTGTGTGTGCTCCACCGCGCGCGCGCGCACGTGCAGCGGCCAGGGATGCTGGACCGCCTTCGGACCCTCCTCCCGCCCGCCCGCGCCTCTCGTCCCTCTTCCAGCTCCAGACAGCGGTGCGAGTTTTCCTGCCGCTCCTCGCCTGAGGCTGGCGGGTGACAGGCGAGGTGACGGTCACGGAGTGGAGCAGACAAAGGGTGCACTCGGACGACCCTCCAAGGGCGAGGCGCCTGGAGAGAGGGGGTGTATGTGTGAGCGTGTGAGCGTGTGTCTGGGCCCCCTTTCCGGCCAGCTAGAGAGACTGCGTTGGTAGCAGAGGGATGAGGTGCGGAGGAAAGGTGAGGTGGGGCGGAGGAGACAGAACCCGTCAGGGGGAAGGAGAGAGCAGAGGTTAAAAACCACCTCGCGTGATAGGCTGTAAAACAGGTTCATTTTAAGGAGAGAAGGGGAGCGGGCTGCTGAACTAAAATTTTAGAGGATTGGGACGCAGTAAGTTTGATTAATAAAGGTATTTCAGCGACCGGTGTTCAAGTGAGTCTGAGACCTTCTCCTAAGTTTATTGCTTGTTTTAGATAATCGCCTTTGACAAGTCTTTCCAGTACCTACTGCAGAAGTACCTTTTCACTGTCAGAAAGAAGTAAAAGGCATATATACACAAATAAAATGCAGCTAAAATTAAGTTTAAATGAAGCTTTGAGCAGGATTAAATGGCTTGTGTAACTGCTGAATGTTGCTAAAGTACTGTCAGGACTATAAAATAGCCAGGCAAAAATAAAGGAAAAAATAATTGTAACAAGAAAATGAAGGCTTTACAAGAACTTCAGTAATGAACACATAACAATTGATGGTATGATGCAGTAATTATTTTCGTATTTACGCCATTAACGATTGTAATTTAACGTTAATGTCCTGGTATTTTATTCCTTCTCATTTGCAGACAAAAGCACATCTGAGACACCATCAGGGAGTAATTTGGTAATATAAAGTCATGAATAGAAAACACTAAACCATGCTCAGAACTCTGACAACATAAAGCGTGAAACAAAATAACCTCATTTGCTGTTTATTATCTGTCTTTATAATTCTGTTTACCATCATTTGCATAAATGAATAGCTAAATTGTATAGTATATCCCTTTTAGGAAAAAAATACTTGATGCTTTTAGATAGACGGGGAGGGAGGGGAGGGGAGGGGATGTTAGGTAATTCTTACATTAAGCACGAAAAAGATTTTTTTGAAACTTTGTGGGATTAGAAGCCTTCTGGAAATAATCAGAATGCAAATTTAGCCTACTTTAGGCATCCTTAATTTATTTAACTTGGTTCAAGTACTTTTTAACTATATATGTAATTAGTCTATGGGCAAATCCTAAACTTCTTTCCTAGCTAATCTTAACAAACCAAATCGAAGTATTCTATCTTACATCATGAAGCAATTTTTGTTAACCTGAAAAACTTTTGTTTTTTTTTTTTTTGCTATTCAAACTTTCAAAGGGTAAATTTTTTGAAATGAAGGAAGAGGGTTTTTGGAGGAAGCTCAAAACAAAATCCTTTCAGCAGAAATTTAAGTTAATAACATTTTAAGACAAACATCAGAAGTCACAGATTTTAGAACTACTAATTATTTTAACCTTAGGATCTTTGCTAAAATTGTCTTACTCATATGGTAAAGGAAACAACTAGTAACTGTATTAAGAGGGTTGTGAAGTAATGTGCCAGCCAAACAGCTGAGCAGAACGTGTGTGGTTGGGGAAATCAGTTGATCCCATGAATGTTTTAAAAAATCCATTTATTCTTGCCAGCACACAAAATATCATCATGATGATTGAATGCACCTTTTCCTTCCTATACAAATACACTAGTCTCATGTGGAACGGCACAATGAAATCAGTATTACCTGAGAATGGATTCTGTATGGAAATAGGAACCTTGTATGTATTTTAAGTGCAGGGGCGAAGAAAGAATAAGTGACAAGCAGGCTGTTCATTATAGTGGAGACTGCTGATTGTATAAGATCAGGGCGTATTCTTATAGTTTTGCTGGTTACAAATTTAGGAAATGCAACTGTGTGAACAAAGTACATTTTCAATACAGGTTTAATTATTATGCTCATTCTTAAAGAAAGTCAATATTCCTGTTATCGCTTTTATATTCCAAATATTTGAAACACTGGCCAATTTCTCTGCATTTGTATTGTTCTTGATGTCATTGTTCTATATGGAAGTTCTCTGTTTTTCTTTGTTTTAAAGGCTAAAATCTGACTTCTGGTTAATTCATTCACTGCTCTGACATATATTTACTAAGTTCCCGTTATTAGCTACGAGATACTTTGCTCGGTGCTAGGACTTCAAGGATGACTTAGATTCAGTCCCTGTACTTAGAAGGTGAGGAAGACAGTTATGCAATAAATGTAATAAAATGTCACCTGTGGAAGTTTGTCTAGGACTTTGGAATAAGACAGATTGGGTTCAACTTTTAGTTCTGCCTCTTATTGGCTGTGAGACCTTGATCCAATTTTTAACCTTTCTGAGCATCAGTTTTCTTATCTGGTCAATGGGGGAAATAATACATCTCTGAATCACAGAGTCCTGAAGATGACATGTCAACTTATTTTAATGTTTTCCATCCTAAAAACAGAAAACAACCTTGGAGCCCGTACTTCTGGGCATCTCTCACATCGTTTCTCTGCTCCAGCTGCTGTCGTATTTCTGGTGATGCCAAGTCTTCACGCCCCCCTCCGTGTTGTTCACCCCACACCTATGTGGCTTCTGCCCCCACCACCTATGGAACCAACATCTGTTGAGATTAGCAGTGACCTCTGTGTGGTCAGATCCAGGGAGCCGCGTACTTCTTCAACTTCTTGGAGCATCTGAAAGAGTTGACTGGTCCCTTTTAACTCGTAAGCTATTTTCTCTTGGCACCAGTGACTTCAGTGGCTTCTCTGACACTGTACGTCTCCAGTTTTCCTTGTTAGGCTTTTCTTATTTCTCAGCTGGCTCTTCCTGCTTTGTCTCTAAATGCAGGTTGGATCATTTTTCCAACCTGTGGCTACATCCCGGGCCCCCTTCTTATGTCTCCATCCCACACCCGGATGAAGTTCCCCAAGTAAAGAAAGTTTAAGCAGTCGTCCTTTAGAATGGTCTGCTTTTTCTCATGGCCAGCAGAGCACACAGGCTAGCATAGGAATAAAGAGGCTGAGTGTCAGGCATGTGCATGTTGACAGACAGAGTTCTGACAAATGCTAGAAACCGAAGGCAGAATAACTGGAGTAAGTGTACCGCTGGGGCCAACTCCCCAACCACTGGCTCTCTCGTCGCCCCCTCTTTCGGTTGGGAGGTTGGATTCTTAGCAAAAGGAGCATCCTTGAGCCCACATTACTTTGCAGTCACCGCATTTGAGAGTTACAAGTTATACTTCCAGGAGGTAGCAATGAAGTCCATGTAACCATGTAAACAAGTCTTGGTGACGTAATTGGAAGGCAGAGATCAAGAATAGTCTGAGCTTCACTTTTCTGAAGATAGAGGCGTTTTCATTCACAAAAGAGGCATGGAAATGCGAGAGTTGGTTCCACTGTGAGCGTTCACTGGAATCTGCTGCCCTGGTCCCAGCCTTTCCCTTGGGTGACAGAGGCCGTAGACCCAGCCTCGCGGTGGTCCTCCT